GATCTGTCTGCAATTATCCTCCCAGGAAACGATGATGGTGAAAGATTGATGCCAGTCGCAATTATGGATGACACTTCACCATGGATGGATGATGTCCAGTGAATATTATTTTAACTAAATAGAATTCACAGGCCCATAATAAACAGATTCAATATAGCACAAGAGTTTGTCACCTAATTTGTCAGCCTAGTAATTTTTAAGTCAAATTGTTTGTTTTTTTCCTTTTTATTATTTAATCACTGGGTGAGGTCAAGTTTCGCTAATTTATTTCTTATCCTTTGTAAAAAGATTCCATAATCGGAAATGATCTAAAACTTGACCTCACCTTTTGTAAATGAAAAAGCAGCAGAAATGATGTGTATTATATAATTGTCTAGTCCAGGGGTCTCCAAACTTTTCAGCCCGAGGGCCGCATTAACTATCAAACAGCAGCTCGGGGGCCGACTACACACTTGAGGTCCAAGTAAAAAAGAATCAAAACATGGATGTTGTTTTTAATCATTTATGTATTATTATTTCATTCAGTTATTATTTAATGACACATTGAGACACGACACATGAACACCTGTATAAGTGGGAATGATAAAATTGTCTCCTGTATGCCAAAATAGCAGTGATTAGCAGACATTTCTGGATTTAGATTTCATGTCCCTAACATCAATAGTGACCTGAGATGATCATCGGAAAATTTTTTTTCTCAAATTGTTCTTCACTTATTTCGGTCTTGAAAATGTTTATTCACACAGGCATGTTGTTCCAAAGATTGAAAGGTACATTGTTGCAAATGTTTTGAAGTCTTCCTTGGGCGTAAACTAGTTAAAAACCCACCAGTCCTTCTTTTAACTTGTCCCTAAGGAGGTGATTTGCTTGCAACTCAATGACCTCCAGGTGCCGTTCACCTGGGCGACTGGCCACATCTGCTTCAAATGGGTTTTGAAAAAGTCTCACTTCTTCTGCCTTTAAATCCAAGTCAGAAAAACGCTGCTGACACTGCAGCTGGGGGTCTTTGGTGATCTCGCATACACATGACGTGGGGAACTCTGTTGGCCTGTACTGGTTCCAAAAAACAAGACGAATTAGATGGGTGTATAGATCAGAAACTAGATTTTCCTCTCCTTGTAGTTTTACTTTTAGAAAATTTAAATGACTAGTTATGTCTACAGCAAAGACCAATTTCCATACCCACTCTCCATCAGACAGTAATGGCTGTGGCTTGCCTTTACTTTCCAGAAAGTCACCTATTTCCTTTCTTAACTTAAATACTCTGCTCAGAACTTTCTCACAACTTTGCCATCTTACTGCTGTGTAATATGGTAAATCTTGCGATTCTTTGTCTGTATCTTTTAACATGTCTCTGAACTGTCTATGGTTGAACCCATGTGATCTTATTAAATTAACCTCCTGTACCACATGATTCAGAACGCTGCTAATGTCCACATATTTTTCACACAAAGCTTTCTGCTGAATAATACAGTGCAGGAACATTGGTTGCAGATTTTTTCTCATTACACATCTGCTCACTTGTCCAACCAAGCCTTTCTTTATGCCACTCATGTTATTTCCTCCGTCAACAGTCAGGCAACTAAGGTTAGTCCAGTCCAAGTTATAATCAGTAAATGTTTTTTTTTCAACTCATTGAATATATCCTCTCCGTTAACGGTGTCGTACATGCTATGAAGGGAAGCCAGCTCTTGTGTTATTTTCATGTCTTTATCCACATCTCTAACGAACACAAGCAGTTGAGAGGTGGAACAGCAATCCAGCGATTCATCCATTGCAATTAAAAATTGGCGAAACTTGCTTGCATTTTTTGCTATTTGAGTCACAATGTTTTCACCCATGTCTGCAACACGTCGGGCAAAGCTCCGCCGGTATATGGCATTATATCATACTCATTGACTGTGAATGGAAGTAGCGAATAAGGTTTTCCCAAGTCATGATAGGTTAGAAAACATAACTCACTACTGCGCACCTCTATTTTAATTCGGTAAAAACATAACGTCCATGTAAGCGGCGTCTGATCTTGGCAGGATACACGTAAATTTCCGTATTTTTTTCCGTAGACAAAAAGGTCTCCGCGGGTCTCATGAGAGTGCCTCGCGGGCCACATGCGGCCGCGGGCCGTAGTTTGGAGACCCCTGGTCTAGTCTAATTTTTTTTTTCAAATTCAATCCAGATTGAGTTACTGCTTCAATGAATAACTGTGACAACTGTTGACAATTAACTGCTCTACTATTTAAGTAATTTTAATAATGTGATAGTTCTTTTAAGTGGAAATTTTATATTTTAATACACTTTAATAGTGAAGTGTGTTTTAGACTAAATTTAAATGAGGTGTTAATTTTTTTTTTTTTAATGTTCGAAAGTGTGACGTACTTTGGGGGGGGGGGGTCCGAGGTTTGTGACAGTTTTGTGACAGGGGGGAGGGGGTTAAAAATGGTCAAAAATAGCGTGGCGTACTTTATGGACGGCCCTTAAAGCCCTGATGTCATGTAGCTTCTGTAAATACCTGATGTCACGTAGTTTATGTAAATCTCCGATGTCAGGTAGCTTGTTTAAATCCCAGATGTCACGAAGTTTATGTAAATCTCTGATGTCAGGTAGCTTGTGTAAATTCCAAATATCAGGTAACTTGTAAAAATCCCAGATATCAGGTACCTTGTGTAAATCTCTGATGTCAGGTAGCTTGTGTAAATCCCAGACTTCATGTAGCTTGTGTAAACCCTGATGTCAGGTATAGCTTTCGTAAATCCCTGATGTCAGGTAGCTTGCGTAAATTCCCGATGTCAGTTAGCTTTTCTCCACACTTTATTTTACAGCCCCAGTTATTATCTAATTATTGGAGATTTCACATTTTAACTGTGTCAATATTTCAAGTTGATTTTAAGTATTTATTCTAAGGTAAGTTCAACTTCTTCTTGCTTATAATCGAATTAGCCGTAAGTCTTTGACAGTGACAAAAATGTACTTTGCGACATTTTGTTAATGACAACATCCCTCAGTAGCAGGAGTCTTGGGAAAAGTTTGTTTGGGGGGGGGGGGATGGGTGCTCAACTTTCATAAGCTTCAACAAGCAAGGGCCGTAAAACGGGGAACTAAGAAATAAAAAAAATTCTGCCAGCATGAGNAGTTAGCTTTTCTCCACACTTTATTTTACAGCCCCAGTTATTATCTAATTATTGGAGATTTCACATTTTAACTGTGTCAATATTTCAAGTTGATTTTAAGTATTTATTCTAAGGTAAGTTCAACTTCTTCTTGCTTATAATCGAATTAGCCGTAAGTCTTTGACAGTGACAAAAATGTACTTTGCGACATTTTGTTAATGACAACATCCCTCAGTAGCAGGAGTCTTGGGAAAAGTTTGTTTGGGGGGGGGGGATGGGTGCTCAACTTTCATAAGCTTCAACAAGCAAGGGCCGTAAAACGAGGAACTAAGACATAAAAACAATTCTGCCAGCATGAGAGGATGAGTCCAATAGAGGCGTTTTATAAGACTTAAATATATACATAATAATTATTTAAGTTAGAAATGTAAGCAAAAAATGTTATCCAAGAAATTATCATGGATATTTTGCCTGCACTTTAACTGTAAGTTAAAAGCCGGGTCGGTCCTACGGTTGCTGACGCCCCGAGCAAGCTTAACTCTGGCGCCCCTTCTAAGAATAAACATAAAAATGTGCGCAAGGAAAAACCTGGGGACTAGGTAATGAGTTTATTACCTGGGCTGTAATTGTTTTAACAAAGAATTAACAAATACAATTATTTTCCCAACTCGTATTTGGACAGTATGAACAATTAGCCTACCATGGGTAGTTGAACAATTAGCTTACCGCGGGCAGTATGAACTATTAGCCTACCATGGGTAGTTGAACAATTAGCTTACCGCGGGCAGTATGAACAATTAGCCTACCATGGGTAGTTGATCAATTAGCTTACCGCGCGCAGTATGAACAATTAGCCTACCATGGGTAGTTGAACAATTAGCTTACCGCGGGCAGTATGAACAATTAGCCTACCATGGGCAGTTGAACAATTAGCTTACCGCGGGCAGTATGAACTATTAGCCTACCATGGGTAGTTGAACAATTAGCTTACCGCGGGCAGTATGAACAATTAGCCTACCATGGGCAGTTGAACAATTAGCTTACCGCGGGCAGTATGAACAATTAGCCTACCATGGGTAGTTGAACAATTAGCTTACCGCGGGCAGTATGAACTATTAGCCTACCATGGGTAGTTGAACAATTAGCTTACCGCGGGCAGTATGAACTATTAGCCTACCATGGGTAGTTGAACAATTAGCTTACCGCGGGCAGTATGAACTATTAGCCTACCATGGGTAGTTGAACAATTAGCTTACCGCGGGCAGTATGAACTATTAGCCTACCATGGGCAGTTGAACAATTAGCTTACCGCGGGCAGTATGAACAATTAGCCTACCATGGGAAGTTGAACAATTAGCTTACCGCGGGCAGTATGAACTATTAGCCTAACGGTGACATTTTGTTTTTACTCTAGACTAGACTTTAGATCAGCAAATCTTTCTATTTTTCTTCCATGGCGCCAACATGCAATGATTTTTCCTATTTCGGAAGATCGTTGATGGCGCCCTAAGCACATGGCTCCCCGGGAAGCTGCGCGAGTTGCTGGTACCTTGAGCCGGCCCTGGCTAAAACTAAAAGTAGTTTTAACGAAATTTCTATTTTGTACTTGGAAAGCATTGTGCATGCTGCATGGTCATGGTGGCTAGGCCTGTATGATAATTTTTTAAAATAAAATAGCTGTAGCTTTTAATTTAAAATAAGTGCTGCCCCAAGATAAAACTATGTTAAATTATGTAGTTTCATTAAATAGTTCAACTTTTAAAATTTAACAATGTAACATTTGTTTTAAACCAGATCTAGTATTTAAAAAAAATATTATTTGACAATTATTAATTATTTTAATGCGAATTAATAATTGAAAATATCGAATGATAAGCATTGAATATTTTATTTACTTTTTACATAGAAGAAGGAAGAACAAGTACCTGTTACTGTAGTGTAAGTAAGTGAATTTGGAAAATTTTAATGTTTCTTTTCTAAATGTGGCATAAATTTGGGTCATTTGTTTTTTAACCTATTACTCATTCCATATGCTTCTTTAGGTAATGTTTAGTTCAGTATCTTAGGGACGACTGATGGTACAGACGAAGAGAATAGTATAGGTTTTATTTTAAGTCTTAACGAAGTCTTATATAGTCAACTAGACGAAATTTGACAAATAAAATCATCAAAATGACATCAGACCAGATTTATTTTTAATTTAAATTTACATTTTTTTACATTACATCTCAGTCATGAGTTATACTGATACACATATTACTCAGTCTTTCGAACTGATGCAGTGCAGTCAGGTCAATCACATACACTCACTATACTTAAAACGGTAATCTACCACTTGAGCGTCAGCCAAGAAAAAATCCAGCTGTTCCGGTTGCAAGGGCTATTTAAACAACTATTCTTATATTATTTTTAATGACATTGGTTGTACGTATTCATTCCCATAATAATAGACAATTTTTTTTTAAAAATAGAAAAACTATAACAATTTTTTTGAAATAGAAGATAATGTGTGAATATGGAATTATGCATAGCTCTCTCCCAAGTTGACAATGAAGTTTTAAAAAGTATAATTTTCACGAAAACGGTTGTGGTACATGAATCCACGTAAAAATGAAGGGGAAAGATCACCGGCGCTTCTTGTGCCAAACTGTCTTTTCAGTTTAAGCTTTTTGAGTATTCACGTTTTCCACATTCTGTGTGTGGACATCAGCATCATCTGGATCCAAAAAAAAGTAATAATTGTAGTCTCTTTTTCTTCCTGGCATATCGGTAGCTTGGCAGTAATATTTATTTAAATGTATTAGTATTGTGCTATATAACTTTATAGCCTATACGAAAGGAAAAATATTAACAGACTCCAATGTAAGAATAGTTGTTTAAATAGCCCTTCCAACCGGAACAAATGGATTTTTTCTTGGCTGACGTTTAAGTGGTAAATTACCCTTAAAACTCATCATGGGTGTCAGTGTTAGTAGTGTTAGCTCATTAAAATTAGCCTACTAATTACGAAGTGTCTACACAGACGAATTCTTTATCAAGATATTCATCCGGCGACCAAGTCACATGACCGCTATAAGAATACTTTATCAAAATATTCCTCCGGCGACCAAGTCACATGACCGCCGTAACAAAGTGGCGCAAGATATTTGTCCGTCAGCATTGTCACGTGACCATGAATAGTGCAGTCGCATTTACTGAGTATCTTGCGAACAAATAATAGAAAAAAATACTTGGATATATTGCCAAAACAAATGGGGGGGGGGGGATAAGCAATAATGCATTCTAGAAGGAAGCAATGCTGAGAGGGAGAGATAATTAGGGTAATAAAAAATAACATTGAGGGTGATAAATAATTAAGTGAAAGGCGGGGAGGCTGATAGTTCACAAAGAAATAGACCCTACATCTTAATATAGGGCCGATAAAGTGGTAGCCTGGCCGACTTCTCGTGGAATACTAAATACTAATCCTGAAATACAACTTTATTGACATAGGTCTATTGAAGTGTACTGGTCTTATTTTATTTGGTTCATATTTTAAATTTAGGCTTCAAGGTAGAGCTTTATGAGATGTTTTGAACCAAGATAATAATAATGATAAAAACATCTAGGCTTAGGCATTTAAAAAACAATTCTCTTAATAAATGATAAGTTTTTTATTATGCTGTTTCTTCTGCCTTCACAGAAACTTCTGTAGTGTTATTAACCAAATAGAATTTTCTGAGTCATTATTTATATATGGTCTGCATGTGATGCTTTAAAATAACTTTGACCAACAATGTTTTGTCTTATAGCATTGTACATCTCAAACTTAAAAGACTTTTTGTCCTACTGCATTAAATCAAATATCCTCTTTTCAAAATAACACAATAAAATGCTATCCTTTTAAAATTTTTAGCTGTTTTAACTGATTCCATCCATCCCTGTGGCACTACAGCCCATGTAGGGCTTTGGCCTGTCTCACTACTCCCCTCCACTCAGACCTAACTAATGCTTTTCTTTTCCATGCTTCGATTTTTAGTTTTAAATGATTACTGGTACTTTAAATGCAGGAAAAAATTGAACATTCCTCAGTTTTAATAATTAAAATCAACACAATTAAAATTAACACAATTAAAATTAATACAATTAAAATTATTTGAAATCTTCAATAAGGTGGCAACATGGAGTCAGGCAATGACAGTGATACAGATGAGGAGTATGACCTGCAGGAAATGGAAGTAGCTCTTTACAGCCAAATCCACTTTGACCCTGGGCCTGGGAGCAAAATATGGTCTGGCCAAAGCACAAGCCCAGGTTATCGCAAATTGATACTTCCATTTAAAGTTGGAGTGAAAGAAATCCCTCCTCAGACCATCACAAGCAAACCTTTAATACCACAAGGGGATTTTATAGCTTTTTCTGAGGAAAATTTGATTACATCAGAAAATATAATTGAAACACCTAATTCCCACTGTGATAAGATTAGGCCAATAAATAAAAGCCATGCTGGCCTTACAGATTCCAACATACACCAACAGAATGAGTCAAACTTTATCACCGAAGATTGTTATTATGTAGGTAGTAGCAACGTTAATGATTCTCAGGGAACCTCTTCACAACCAATGCCTGTTCCAGTTAGGACAGAGGCTGTTGGAAAAACAAGCCTCAGTTGTAATCAGAGTGAAACAAATGTCACAAGTAAAAAGAAGAGCTCTAACACCAAATCAGAACTTAAAAATAAACAACCCCCTTCTTCTAAACGAGAGAGAGGGTCTGCAACGTCTAAGAAAAAGTCAAATCAACTTCTACCTTTTTCCATAACAAAAAATAAAACACCCAAAGTTAAAACTGTGTCAGAGCCTTGCCTTAGAAGTGACATAAAAGATAAAATTAAGCTGTACGCTCCAAACGCTGAGGTCTTGTCTCAGAAAAATAGCAAACCACAATTAGAAGCATTCCTACAATTATCAGAATGTAATAAAGATATATTTAGTAGTAAAGTAAAGAAGAAGGTGACCAAAATTGATGCAGCCGTCCAGCTTAGGAAACCACCTGTCCTCTTACGCCGACCACCTGCAGTTAGTGTCAGGTACAAACAGGAAAGTGACACCAATACAGATTATAGTGACAGTGATACAACCAGTTCTTTATGCAGTCCAATCAAGAGCACTCTCCTGAAATCTACATCTAATCCATCAATAACTGGCAAGTAATCTTAAGCTCAATTATGTTAAAGGCACTGACTGATGGGTTTTTAACCTTTGAAAATGGAGTGTCGAACCTTTTGTAATCAAAACATATTTACCAATTATGATATTTTTAAAAAATTCAAGTTATCATTCCATTAAATTATTACCGGTATTTAAATATTTATGATGGTACCCAGTAGGTTTTTTTCTTCTTTTTTATGGCTTTAATGAAAAAAATGTAAAAAGGGTATTAAAAAGCTTTAGTGTTAAGTAAAAGTATTTAATTAATAACGGGTACCAGGTTTAATTAGCCAAGCGATTAAAAGTGAGACCGATTGTAAGGTCAGATTTTATATTGATACAGGAAAGGGTGCCAACACAGATGATGCAAAAGATGAAGAGGAGGAGGGTGAGGTTGGCAGCACCTCTCAGGAGGAATCTGAGAGAAATAGTGTTGGTGAAACAGACTCTGATGACAATATGGACTTTCTGTCTGAGACTGATCCCAACTTGGAGTTCAACCTTGCAGGAGGAGTCGATGGATTACTGAAAAATACTAAATGTAAGTTGCTAGTTTTTGGTTATGAGCCTACCTTATAATTTAGATGAAATAAATAAACTAGTCTTTGGTTCTGACAGCTAACTTAAATTTCTCAAGTTTAAAAATGGTTTGAAGACTACAGCACCAAATGCCAATATTATTGAGCTGATATGTCTGTATGATAAATTACAGTAGTTGCATGAATATTTGTAGTAAAACTTGCATCTTATTGATAAATCATTAAATCAGAGCTATTGTGGAATTAAAAATTGATCACCCCTATCAAATATTTCATGGAAAAGCTTCAGAAAAAACTGATTGGAAAATTAATGAACAAGATCGCTTCAATATGAATAGTCTTCTCAACCGATACTTCTCCCCTCTGAAAATTCAGTGTCGAAACTGTAGAAAAGATGGCCACATGTCAAGAGATTGCCCAATGCCTAAGGTATCACATAAATATAGCTTAGAATATTATTTTTATTTCATATTAAGAAATAAACCAATAATTTCTACTGTTATCTTTACAATTTTATTTAATGGTTTTAAATTTTGTTAATATGTTAACTGGACATTTGAGGAATTTTTTTTTTGTTGACATTAACTTGCTTGTGAGAATAAACAGTGGAGAATTTTTATGATTCTATGATGAAATTTTGGGCTACAGTAATGACTAATAATAACCTTGACCTGGAAGCAATATTTGTGACTTGATTCTTTACAGAAAAGCAAATGTCTTTTCTGTGGAAGGGATGGTCATGTGTACCAGGTATGCCCACTTGGCATTTGCTTCAATTGTTCAGCACCTGGACACAAAGTTAATGTTTGTCGAGAACCAAAGAGAGATTGGAGATCTCGTTGCAACCGATGTCTAATGTATGGCCACGGTGATCAGGTAACAAGCACTTTTTGTCTACTTTAAATTACTTATCAGTTAACTATCTATATGTAACAAGACCATGAGCTGCACACAGGTGACAGGGCATACAGTTGTAAAACATATTCCCTAGGGCCAACAACGTGATTGGTATCCCATATTGTTAAAAAGATACTACCAAAAAATACACTTGGACATTGTGACCTTTGTTTGAGATTTTGAAAACCTCAGAAAATGTTTTTTAATCTAAAAATTACATAATTTATTAGGTAATTGTTTTCAAACAATTGCTTAGTTGGAATAATATGGTAAAAGTTTGGTAAGATTCAATATTTTGGCAATAGTAAAAAGTGTAGATAAAAATTATTTTGAAGAATAGAAAAGAAACCTCCGGTTTTATTCTAAACAGTCAAACTTTTCTGTTAAAATTGAAACCACTTCTCTCCACAGCTGTGTCCTGACAGATGGAGACAGTTTCATGGCACTGTAAGTTGTTTTATTACTTTCTCTTATGTTGGGTTCTGCAGGAACTCTTTTACATCAGGAATTTTTTTGTTTGTGGGGTGAGTCTTCTAGTGGTAAGATGGTGGGTTGTATCATCCTGTGCTAAGTGGGTGGGGTGTGTGTTCCAGATACTGACATGCAGATTGTCTTACATGTTCTACTTGCTGTAAATGTTTTTTAGAGACCATATCTTTTTGAAAGGTTAAGAATCATCAATTATCCTATTATCTTTTAATCTGGGCACAAGATTTATTAAAATATTTTTCCAAAATTTATTGATGTCAGACTAAGCCAGGAAAGTTGCAGACTCAATCTAAAGGAAGCATCAACACTTTGGTCTTTTGTTATAATTGTGGAAAGAAAGGACATTTTGGCTATGTAAGTAATATTCCCTTAGTACTAATAGTACTGCTGTTACTGTTGAGCCAAGGGACGTTATGTATATATGTCATCCCCCCCCCCCAAGACACACTCTAAAGGAAGTTTTGTTATATTTTTAAAGTAAATTATTTGAAACACTAAAATTAGAGAATTGTTTCTTCTAAAAATGTCACTTGAGATCAGCCAAACATTTTTCTTGTTTTAATTCCTCAAACCAACTAGCGCATTATTTTATCCTAAATAATTCATTCCAGTTTGACATTCAGTGAAACTAATTGTTTATGTAAAACTAAATCCATTCAACCATGTAGTACTAGTCCACTTTTGTAAAAAAAAATCCAAAAATTTAATATTGAGAAAAGCATAAAAAATTAATTATAAATCATGACAAAGAAAACAGAGACATCAGTTGAGACCCCAACCATTCTCACGGGGACGTGTATCCCTATTCTCCTAATCTGACCATGTCCTAAAACATTAAAAATTATATATCTATTTAAATATCTATCAGGAGTGTGAAGCCCCAAGGATGGACCGTTTTGTGCCTGCCACTTACCCACTTATAGCTCGCTATGACACCAAGAAAAATCGAGAGCGCAGAGAAACTGAGGACAGTCCTCATGTTAAGAAAAGTAAAGGCATTCACCCTAAAGGTATGACCCTGCTGTGGGGGAGGGGGAGGGGGTGGATTTCAACTGGTTTCACCAGGCAAGTTAGTAAAAGTTAAGACCAACAAGCTGTAGAGAGGTAAGTAAAGATTTTTATCTGACAAGGTATTGAAGGGATATCATAGTCAGCCTATTTTAAATTGCACGCTAAATGCTTTAATTCCGTTACTCTCATTTTTCCTCTGTTAGATTCTCACAAGCAAAAATCTGGTAAAAAAATGGACAATAAGTTCTCAAACAAAAACAACTCAGAATTTCAAGTTGTGAAGAGAAAGAATGAAACTACTGTCCAAAATCACAGTTCTCCTTTGATATTTCCCAAGTCAGACTCTCGAAATTCTGACCAAAGCAGAAGATTTCAAGCTGGCAAAGATAGAAGCTCTTCTACTCAAAAAGGTTTTGGCAATAGCAAGAGTAGACGCAGATGTGGACAGGATAATTTAAGAAGTGGGTGTCATGAAGAGACTGTTGATAACATGATGGATGACTATGAGAGTCACCAGGTGCATGCTAATGAATGGTGGAGTTCCCGTGGGGACAAGAAGGAGCAAAGAAATAAAGATAAGACATCAAGACGTTTTCATCACAATAATGGTAAGTTCCTGAAGTTACGGCACGAATCTGCATTTCTGTCCACCACATAATATATCTTGTTATAATATCTCCCATGTGTACTTTGGATGTTTACGTGCATTATATTTTATATTACATTCCCCATGCATAGAACTATTAGAAAAGTAGAAGAACCATTAGAACAGTAGAATTATTATTAGAATAGTTAAACCATTAGAAAGGTAGAACAGTAACAAATCCAAATGTCACCCTTTCAGATTGGAAAACACCAAGGTCAAGGTTTCCGGACGAGGCTAGCAAATCATCTTACAGAAATGAAGAGGTGCAAAACATCAACTCGGTACGCACCAACAAAAGGAAAGGGACAAACTCTTCACATGATGCCTGGTCTCCCAGGAAAAAAAGTACCAAAGAAGAGAATAGAACATACAGTGGTGATAGGCAGTACAATGAAAGCTCAAAGAAATTTAATAACAAGAAGTCGCAACATGTTAGCACTTTGCATCATTCATCCTCATGGCCAGTTATGGCGCCATCAAGGGGGTTTCAGTCTAAAAATGAAAAATTTGTGTCTATGAAGAATGAGTTTGATATTAGTGTCCAGCTTCGTCGGTGGTGATGGTTTCTTTTCTGTGATGCTTAAGATGAATGTCTGGATCCTGCTGATTTCCATGCATTTTTTCTTTACTTTAGTATGAAATTATCTTTAAAAAATGCAAATTATGGTATTTTTAAATGTCATCTGCTTGAGCTAAAATAAATCTGTAAATGGAATTAAACATATTTTTATTAAGTTTGAGCTTTTGGGTTATATTAAAAGTATGGTATGTTATGTCAATTAAACCATCTAATATTTGAAAGGCAACAAATTTTGTCCAATTTTCTTGAAATCAATTAAAAATAAAGTGGTCAAATTTTATTGCAAGATTTTTGTAAGAGAACAACTTGTGTAGCAAAAGTAGCATATGAGATTATTGAAGTGAGCAAAATGTTTGTAATTTGTGTTATTTATCATTTAAATAGCTAGTTGAAACCATTACTTCTAGCAAATCTACAAAAGAAAATATTCAATATTTTAAAATTTGCTGTTGTATAAAATCTGTTTATTGTCAAAACATACAATGCAATACCAGTCATCTTTTAAATAATTTGAAGAAATGGTTTTATTTGAATTTGGAGTGAGATGAATATTACATTATTATGGGATGAGATGAAAATTATATTTATTTTGGGTGTGGTGAAAATTAAATTAGGTGAAAGTGATGCTATGTTGAAAAGCACTCAGTGCTTAAATTATTTGTTATAAAATAATTAATATCTATGGATTGTCTTCAAGGTTAGGTTTGAAATAAACTGAGAACAAGTGCAGTGTAAATGTGAAGTTTAAAATGAACTGCTAGTGGGGATGATATACTCATGTTTTTGGTATGAGGCAATTTATACCTTTTAAAAATGTAAATAAAAAACAAAAACTTGATGACAAGATGTTTAACATCACATCTCTTTATAGACTGACACTAGACCCAGATATAAGAATCCAGGGGTCTTCTATTAAGTAAGACAAGAAAGTGATTTGCACAAAAGTAGAAAACATTGCTCACCAGCACTTTTTGCCTGTAGGGGAAAATTTCAGTTTTTACATGAACCATTTGTTTTAAGGTAGGGGATTGTTGTTATTTTTAGATGTTATAATTAGAATATCTCAGTTTCATTGTCTTATGAGATAGATTATTGTGTAACTGCTGAAGTAGAGCAACAATTAAAAAATTGCTAATGAACCGGAAAGACCAAGAATAATGAGCCATGAAGAAATATGTTTATTAAAATACTGAAGAAAACTTTCAATTTCATAATTATTAAATATTTTATTGCTAAAAAAGCATGTTTATAGCAGAACATAATTATGAGAGGCATTAAAATATATGATACATCACAAAATTAAGCTGCCCAAATTTGATTGGAATTAAACATTCATGAAAATTTAAGTGTAAAAGTACATTTTAAAAAAAATTCATCTTTATTTTATTATGTAAATCATAAAAAAAATTATACAATGGAATGTAAGAAATACACAGCACATAACAATATTAATTCATTATTAATGAACACATCTTTTTTTTAATTCCACTTTTTTCATTAAAAATTTGTCACATTGAACTCATAAAATTGGATTCAGGTGTAGTAAAATTATAAATAACTTTATTTTGAACTATAACAGTTACTTAGTCTACTTGTGCACTAGAGTTTCTGTTAACCTCTGGCCAGTACCGGTATAGCAGATCAACTATCTTTTCATTACAGTGAGGCCCAAAATCACTTCATCCCCAACATTTAGAGGCTGTTAAAGTCCAATAATCACTATCTCCTATATCTGAGCTTTAAAAAACAATAGAAATAGAAGTAAAAAATGAACCAGAAGTAAAAATTTGTAATTTTTGTATTCAAGTAGATGTAGAACCTCTGATGAGCCTCTAGCCATTTCACAAACACAAGATCTGTTGGTTCGTGAATTGAGTGAATATTATTTATCATCACTCTTGATGTCTGTGGGTTTAAGGGAACAACAGCTAACTTTGTAAAAAATTGTAAAAATACCCATAATTGGTGTACTCTAATGATGTATAAACAGAATAAATGACGCTAACCACTTTGGGGTACAACCATCAAGGAAAAAAATATTTATTTTTGGGAGAGAAAAGAACAAAGGGATTGGTTCATATCATATCCGCTTTTGTATCATTTGTGGTTGTCAAGGTTTGACAATGTAATTTTGGATTGGATGACCATACAATGAACTGAGAAAGAGAGAAGTTATTCTGAGTGAGAGTATACATTTCTTTTTAAAAACTATATTAACGGGTCTGTTTTAATTAGCCTTACTCAACTTACTGGAATCGACTTTAGAAACAACATGATTTTTTTTTAACCAACCCAAATTGGAAAAGTAGGCGGCAACCAAGGACAAGCCACTGTGTTTTACAAAAATTTGGACATACCACATAGGTTATTGCCGTAGTATTTATACAAGATTCTTTCTTTTGCCCAGACCCAAAATGTTCATTTTATTTTACACAATGCAGTTAGTCATTAAAAATATAGCACATGCCTGGTGTACACCATTAACAACTTAATGCTGTGCAATTAAAACAAAACATGTTTAAAGAATAAAATAAAGCTGAAAAATTCTTTACTGAAAATTTTACAATAACACTTTTGGTTTTATCAGTCGCAGGTTTGCTACAAATTTCTTTCCTATTAATCATAAACAGAGGAAAAGCCATGTCATCTTCAGTTAAATTAAAACTTTTAAAAATAAAATATTAATCATTATACTTATGATTTCAATGAGAGCCTTGATTGTCAATACAGTTTAAAATTTAATACATAATTCAATGTATTTAATTACGTCTGAGTATGAGCATATAGACTTCATTTAGACATACTTCAAAGAATTTTGATAAAATGTATATAGAATAAATAAATACTTTTAAAATGTATCTAAAAATCAATAATTGAATCAAAAAATTTTGAGAAGTTTGCCATTATAAAACTTACCCATCTATGCAGAGGTGTAGCGGGGGGGGGGGCAGCGGGGGACAGATGTCCCCGGACGCCGGGGAGTTAGGGGTGCCAAAATGTGCTTTGATATTATTTTATTGATGAAAATAATGGGTTTGAAAGTTGAAAAAAGAGAAGGGGTCGCTTTAAAATGCATCTTGTCCCCGACACTAAACACTCTCGCTACGCCTCTGAATCTAGGACAGGATCTTTATTAATTATGTCAGTGTTTTTAACTTAAATTAAAATTTTAATTGATTTACATAGCTATATATTTATGTATATAAATAAAACTGATTGTTTTTATATTCAATCTAAGTAGTTTATTATTTTAGAATCAGTGCAATAGGAAAAAATCTTCATACATAATAAGTTAATTTAATGTAGTTCACTTTATTTTTTTCCATCGCCAAAGGTTCTCATTTTTTTAAGAGTAAATTCAGTACCCTTTAGTAACTGTATTTATCATAATCCCCTTAGTCAAGTGCCAGTAGAAGCAATATTTTTTTTTAAAATTATTATTATTTAAAAATCCAAACTTTAAAAAATAATAATTGTGCAAAGACACTTACTAATTAACATATAGTAATTTACTGGACTACAGGTATGTACTGTAACCATACTGAACATTTCCAAAAATAGGACCTCAGCGATCCATAATAACAGTAGGTATGTTGATACTCTCTGAGCACAGCTAATCACTGCAGCTGCAAAATGTGTGACCCCATTTTTGCACATAGCCAGTTCTTGCCTTTACATTGATTTCTGTAATTACATTTTCTTTATTGTTTTCTATCATGGAATCAATTAACCTGGAGAAAATTTTTTAAATCCCCAACAACATGCTCATTAGCAGACCATGACACAAACTCCCCCCCCCCCTTCCAACTTATTCCCCTAAACATTTTCCCCAATAAGTCGGCTTTGAACTCATCAAACACTATGATCCTGCTAACTCTGGAACCCATCTTGTGTTGCTAGAGAATATTGTTTTCTATCATGGAATCAATTAACCTGGAGAAAATTTTTTAAATCCCCAACAACATGCTCATTAGCAGACCACGACACAAACTCCCCCCCCCCTTCCAACTTATTCCCCTAAACATTTTCCCCAATAAGTCGGCTTTGAACTCATCAAACACTATGATCCTGCTAACTCTGGAACCCATCTTGTGTTGCTAGAGACCCCTCACTGACTCAACCCATATGCATCAACCACTTTTCAATGACGGGGTTCTCAGGTTTGATCATTTCAGATTTTTAACACAGTAAATAAAGATCAACAGTACAAAATTTATTTTTTAAGAAAATATTAAATTTACCATAATAGAGCATAAATCAAAGTATTATAGAGTTCTATTTACACAATCTTTTTCCATGTGATGGTTCATCAACTGTTAAAAACAATGTCAATAATAAAATTGCTTTAATTAATATTATAGTATTTGCTTGAGGTAATAAAAAAAAAAAGGTTTAACCTTCACCATATCCCGTTAGTGGAATCCATCCATTTTGTGTTTTTAATTTCTGCCATATGCATATTATTTGGCCTAGCCTATTGGGCCTTGATAAATACCTCATCTACCCAGCGTATTATATGGACACAAAAAGGTGTTTCCAATGGACTTAAATATTATTGGCTGTGGGCCTAAAAACTCAGCTTCCTTATAAATACCCTGTAGGCAGTACCCTGTGGGTGGGCAGTACCTTGAAGGCGGGTAGTAAACCGAAGGTGGGTAGTACCCTGTGGGTGTGCAACACCCAGTGCTCACTGTTCTTGCCACAGAAAAATATCTTGAAAGTAGGCAAAGGAAAATGAGTTGACCTTGAGGAACAGATTACTTTTTTCCGGCAATAAATAACACCCAAAATGGTTGCCATTATAGTTATCTGTACAGACATAGAAGGAAGAAAAAATGAAGAAAGAAGACTGGACCGATACAAATTAAGATGAAATAGAGGCTTTTATTAAATGCTGCCTTGAGGCTGGTGCTATTGGTAACAAATTAACAAATGCCCCTCCCTTTTGATTCAACTGAAGATAGAAAGCATTTCTGCAAGCAGCAATGTCAAGGAAAAGATTTGTTTCTCCCTAAAATCACTTTTGATTCAACGACAAGGACAGAAAGAAAAGCCAAGGAAAAATTAGCCTCAATTAGAGAAATTTAGGATATTTTCCCAATAATTCTCAGCCGACAATGTGTTCCCAGCAGTAACATTACATTTGATAAGCAACTCATCCCATTTTGCTAAAGGGTCTCTTTCATAGAATACCTACACAGCTAAGTCAGATAGATATGGCATCAAGATTTTCTGGGCATGTGATACATTGAAAGGGAAGCCGTACTTAGAAAAGAAGCACCTCAGCCAGGAGACAATAGCAAGACACAAAACCTTGGAGCAAAGACTGTTCTGGAACTTGTGGAGACATTCACAGGAGGTGGCCGTAATATCACATCTGACAAACTTCTTCATTGACTTGAAGCTTGCAAACATTGTCAAACACAACACCTCACCATTGTTGGGAAAGTTAAACAAAATACAAGATTTCTACCCTCGCAATTCCAGCAGCTCAAATACCAAAATATTAATGATTCAATTTTTGGATTTTCAACAGAGGTCACTGTCGTACCCTATCACTATCAGTCAAAAGAGAGTAAAAATATCACCCTGTTGAGCACCATGCATGATGACAATGCTGTGCCTTGCTGCGACAAATGGAAGCCTGAAATTGTAATTAACTATAACAAAACCAAAGGTGTCATCGACAAACTGGCCCTCCCCTTTACAAGTAAACATAAAACAAAGGTGTGACCAATGGAAATGTTTTACAATATTTTAGAATTGGGTGTTCTTGCCACAAGGATTTTGTGAGCAAAGCACAAACAGACAAGTAAATTGACACATGCTGACAACAGACAGTGTTTTGTCATGGAGATTGCAAGGCAGCTGAAGACAGCAAACATCAAGAAGAGTATGCAGCTGCCAAATAAAAGGCATTCCTTGAGAAATGGAAAGGAACAGTCTCTCCAATGGATTACAGGTAGTCCTGAAGCCTTCTGTCACAAAAAAAGCCACATACAAATAAAAATGACCAAACAGAAGAGGTTTGGACAAGAATGACAGAAAAACAAAAACTGAGTGGGTAAAATGTGAAATGCCAAAATGTAAGAGCATACTCTCACTATTTGCAAACAATGTGAAATAACAAAACAAATTATGTCAGTTATTTAAAACATAAAACCGTGTCAATGCTATGCATGTCAGTATGATGTATGTGTAGTAGTTTTCTAAGAAATACCATGATGGACAAATTCACCAATGTTTATTTATAGTTTTTATGGTTTTGTGCATACATCCTCCATTTTTCTCTACAAATAAATATATATTGATGGAATTCCACCCACGGGTTAGGCCCAAGCGGGGAAATCCCCAAGTACTGTGAAGGTTAAGACCACATGGCTTAAAAATACAGCATAAAATCAAAATTTGACTTTATTTTTTCTTACATTAAGTCTTACAAGTCAAAGTGGTTCATAAAAATGAATAAACTTATGTTAGTAATACATCAAAACCTTCAATCCAAACTAATGTTAAAATTGGTGTAGTTTTAACATTTCCAAAAATAGCTTTCAAATATTTCAATTCCAAGTGCATGAGGATAAATTTATTTCAAACTATACATTACTGATGTCTCCTCTTTTTAATTAAAATTCATCTTACTGTTTTGAAACCATTAATTAAGTTGTATGGTAATTAACTTTTAAAAAGTTAATTGAATTTACTACAATAGAATTAGAAATATACGTAAATTATTGCTGTAATTATCTTATAGCATTTTATTACTTCCGCAAATTATTTGGAGTTTATGTCATATCAATTCTAATAAATATAAATAAATATTCAAACACAAATACCTTAATTTTTAGCGTAACAAAAGATAACATTCATTTACCTTTTCAATCCATTTTTTAAATATGATATACAAGTACCAAATGTTAAAAAATTACAGGATCACAGTTCAATTTCTGCACTTATCACACAGCAACAAATTAAAAAAATTAATACTGCATTGGAACTTTGGTAGTCAATGTATTAGAACACTATTATTATGTTTGTATTAGTCCTGACATGATCATTTCCAAATCGGCCAGCAGTGTGGAAGTTCCATATTCAGTCCCATGAATCTTCATCATTGCCAGACTTATTTCCATCTTCTCGTAATCCTCTAATTGAAACATGAGCCCAGCCACTCTAAGCAAATAAGAAAAGAGTAGAAAAAGGGGCACTAAAAAGGAGAAATCTAGCTATCTTTATTTTAAAAAAAAAACATGAAAGCAATCATCTCACATCATTTGCTGGTGGGGGATAAATAGAACATATAATTTATTGCAAAGACAGTAACTGCTATTGTCTATGTTTATATTTTGTAGAATAAAGTACCTTGCCATTCTAAGATATCTACATATTCATTGTTAGTTCCAGTTTGTCATCTCACTTTCATGTCTGGCATGGATTTGATCCCACAGCCCTCTGATGTACCCACATACTCTTGAATAACTAACCCCAGTGATTACAGCTAGAATGCCTTACCTCAATAACTAAACTGAAAATGACTTACCCCATTTATTACAGCTAGTGCTAGAGTATCTTAACTCAATAAATAAAGTGAAAATAACTTACCCCAATTACTACCTCCCAATCTGTCCCTGTAGGTTTTGATGGTGAAATACCAAGTCTCTTATAGACGACACCTGGGCCATGCTTAGCTTTAGAAAAAAGTGCATCAGTAACAATCCAGGTCTGTGGAAATAATTGATCAGTCTTCACAATACTTACATGGCAGAGAAGCTGTACGACATGAGAGTAATGTAAATAAAACATACAGACAAAATAGCTAGAGAAGAGGATCTGGCAGAGTGACATTTTCAAATTTAATTATTACAATTACAACTGACAATACAAGTAAACCTTAATTTTAAGCTACATCGGTTATTCAGACATATAGAAAAATGAAGCAAATCAGTAAATTCTTGAGGTAACTTTTTTTTTTTAGTTTAATATTTGATCAATACAACTAAGACGTAGCTTAGTGATGACACAAACTCATGTGACCACATCTTTAAGCAACTCAATATACATTACCTCATCCTTAGGCCCAACACAGACACGTTTGACTCGACTGGCCACCTTTTCCCACCCTGTTCCCTCAGGAAATGTTGGAGTTATATTCTGTCTGTGCCACAGATTGTCTACACAAATAATGTCAAGAAAAGCTTACCCACTGGATTATACCAACTAAACTCTTGCTGGTTAAGTCTATGGGCAATATAAATGTTGAACTAAGTTCCTTTTACATCATTTTTCTCACGGATTATTTCAAATGTTTTATTCAACTTTGATTTTATTATAAAACCAACAATACTGGGTTCACAGCTAACTAAATTCTAGCTTATCAGGTTTATCAAGTAATTATTTTTCTTAAATGACAGAAATAAATGGCTAAATTTTACAAAATAAAATTAATAGATAACAGAGTAACAAAAAGGTACTCATTTACAAAGATTAAACAAGAAAAACAAAGACAGCAGTGCAGCACTGTAAACAGTGTAAATAGAACCAAGTTATTTCAATAAGCCAATATCAAAATGAAAGTTATAACTTCTAACAAAAAAACAAAGATATTCCTAATTCTGATTATTAACCTTGTGTAATCACATTGAACATTGTGTCTGCATTTACCAAGTTTATCTATAATGAACAAATCATGAGCCACAAAATGAACTCACCCCCTGTATCAACGGCCCACACCGTGGTTGCCCCGGCAGACACCTGATGTAGGAGAAAATCACATTCTGGAGGTGGAACTACCAGCAGCCAGCATGTACCTGAAAAAAACATTCAATGGTAGTCTGTTTCAAACTGATTGCATTTTATTGATTACACTTGTCAAAGATCAATTATAAACTACACACATAACTTTAAAAACTGATCCATCACTGGCATTGAGCAACCATGATATTTAATATTAGTTTCTCAGTTCCTTCAGGGTTCTGGGGACTGACATACCTGCAGGGTTTGAGGGACTGACACCAGTACGAAACCAAGCTGATCCATCACTGGCAATGCCCCATACTCGATATTTCCCTCCAATGGAGATGGACTTGAATGGTTTGTCCATGTCTGTGGCTACATGAACCCAGCTTTGGCCCTGGAGAGTAAGAAAATATACAAATATTATTTGCAAATAAAATTAGTTTCATTGTTGTAGTTACAACTTTCCAGTCAGTCCATTGTGGCAACATTCATTGATAAAGTTGACTAAATGCAAACTTATTTAGACAAGATGTGATCAGTACCTACCATAGGCTGCATAGATGTTACACCAGAACGATATACAACTTCCCCAGTGGCCCCAACAGCCCACACCACAACAGTGTCGGTGTCCTTGTCTAAAGGGTCAATCTGTACAGAAATATCAACTAATCCAAGGGAATCTTCAGTCTGCCATGGACCCAAATAACTTAATCTACATCTCCTGCAAATATAAACAATAAAACAATTTGAAAAGATATAACCTTCAAAGTAAATTCGAAGAGAAACCATTAAAACTTTTGATTCAGTCATTTCTCATCATTCTCAAATTAATTTTTTTTTTGGCAATAACCCTGAATGGGCCAAAATGTATTCCTTATTATTTTAACATCAGTTTGTTAGAGATATATGACATAGGAATCTGAATGTAGTGAGGATAAACTGTAAACATATTTGTCTCTACTGCAAACTCATGTCTATTAAAGACACAATTTATATAAGTAAACATAATCAATAAAAAATTAAGTGTTTAGTTCACATCAGTTTTGGAGGAACCACTTCAAGGTATTGTGTCTATATTGATTATATTTGTATCAATCACAAAGTCTCAAAATAGGATTTACAGACAGCTTGACATTACCACATACCTTGTCCAACGACGCCTCCTGTAAGAATCTCTCATGTGTAGTCGAGAATGAAAAGGTCTACAAAACAGGAGATATTAATCATTATCATTGAAAGCATTTTTTCTTGACGAAGTCATTCAATATATATATATAAAATATATATAAAATACCGTAATTGAAAGGCATAAAAAAGATCTATGATATAATATATGCCGACCAATGGATATGTCGTATAGGGCATCATTAATTAAATTAACATAATTATACCAGTCTATTCTTAATAAATCCTCACCCATATAAATAGTTGGAATACTGCCAGCCATTCTTATCTACGCCACCAGGGGTGCTGAAATCTATTGTCCAATCACTTGTCTGAAAGTATATGCAATGTTTTATAAATTAATTGATTTACCCAGTTTTCAGTACATCTTAATGCATGGAGACAAAACAGACAAGTCCAACTTAAGTTGACAAATTTTTTGTAGAGTTTACGCGATCACTTATAAATATATTTTTCATACCCATTCCCATTTGGAAGATGGAAGAGTGACAGAATCTTTTGAGGCTACACTCCTGCCAGACTCTGTCAGCCAATGAAAATCATCAGTGAAAACACCCCTGAAAATAAAATAATTATTTACATAGTGCTGATACTTCAAACTTGCATTTTCTGACTCCTCTTTAATTAATATATTATTAGCTATAGCAATCCAAACAATAGTGCCAGAAATGTAGCGTGAACTTACCATTTAATAAATTTATTTGACAAAACATGAACCGTTATATCAAAATGAAAGTTTTAACTTCTAACAATAATACAAAGATATTCTGAATTCTCATCATTAACCTTGATTCCCAATTAGTGCTCCCCCCCCCCCCCAACTATATTCAAATTTCCCACCCCATTATACACCGCAGATTTATTACATCAATTATTTCTGAAAACAAAAGAAAATAGTACGCACTAAACACACTTGTGGTAGTTTCAAGTATCTCATTTAGCACATTTACCGGGAATTTTATTATATATAGTGAAAGCATCAGCGATATTAGCTGATCGTAACATTTTTACATAAGATAATTATGTATTTTGATGATTTGACAAACTGTACAAAAACATATTAATGATTTTACTTTATGGTGCACAAGATGTTTACTGAAATTTTTAGGGTTGGGATTAACTCAGTTGAGACCACTCAGCAACCCAGCACTAGTAGCAATTAAATCATCTAAGAGTTGCATAAGGCTCCATCTCTTGAACTTGAAAAATGTTTGTATTCCCTTGTAAATAATCTACTGGTCACCTGTGACCCTCCATTCAGTTTATTGCTGCCCCCCTAAATCACAATGAACATTGGCTCCCCTAAATCACAATGAACATTGGCTCAGTCATTGATGCCAAAATTGGCCAATGCGAATAACTATTATTTTAAACTCTGTAAGTTTGTTTGAACTGATTCTACTGTAGCGTGTTCTATTTTTTATTTCATTTAATTGAATTGACATATAAAAAAGCTTGACTTTATTATAGATAATTGTGTAATTAAATCAATACTATAGCAATAACCATAAATAACTTTAATGACCTATTATAAAGTTACTTTCAATTGGAAAAACTTAAGTTAGATAAATTATAAATTTCCTTACTTGCAACACCATCCAACTACTGGAAACCATTTCTCATTCTCGTAAACGTACATGTGCTGATAATCTGTTATCGGCATTGTGTTATCTGACATAGCACTAGAACCTGGGCAAAGAGAGCAAACTTCCTGAGCTATAATTGCATGCTATTCCAACACATTTAACCAGCTAAACATTTAACCTTTCATAGCAGGCTGTCAGTCAGGCAATCATCCAAATAAGTCTGTTTTTACAACATAGCTTTTATTACATTAACAGCAACATGTTAAAAAAGGATTTAATTATTTTTGTATTTATGTATATCTCTCTGTGATATGGCAATGAGTCTTCCTGTAAAAAAAATTAATAATTAAGAAATTTAGATACAACTATTTTGTTACTGGAGAAGGTTTGATAATCCACTGTTAATTTTTAAGTAATTACCACAAGTTACTGCCCCTCCATAGCCGTTGTTGTAGACATGAGGTATTTTGTCAAACCCAATGCCCCAGGTAACCCCACTAGGCCCAGTCTCCACTAGAGCCATATGCCCTCCATGTTGACCCCAGCATCTGTTGGAAGAAAACAATCCCCTTATAAACCAACACATTTTATGATCCATAGAACTAAATCACCTCAATCATTTTGACTTGCATGCTAAATAGTTTGCCACGTTTCTATGCATAATCATAATAGAACACTCTTTATGTAAGCGATTCTTAATTTAATAAAAGAATAAAACTTTTATAAATGTTAACCAATGTTTTTTTAATGGTATTCATCTATTGGTTTATTTATCCAAGGATTTATTTAACATTTCATTTAAAATATGGGTTACATAGACATTTAACCTTTTATTTAAAAACTTAAATAAGATTTTAATTGTACTGCATTTATTTAAACAAGTGGTATTTATTCTATTGAATTTTTCAGGATGAAAAAAACCTAGGGATTTAAAATCATGAATATTAGAAACTAATTAGTAAGCATAAATATTTGAGGGTTTACAAATCAAATGATTTCCTATAAGTAGAGCTGGCTGGGCTGACAAAGACATCACCAGTAAATGTACATGACCAGACGGAGCCAGGGGAGATGGCATTGTTTATGTTCAAGACACTGGCTTTGGCTGCACATAGGTGGCCCATCTGTAGTGAAAACATGAATCAGTTTAAACTGTGATGATATTAACATGGATCAGATTATATTGGTGGAAGAATATTAACATGGATCAGATTTCACTGAATGCAGTAGGGGAATATTTACTTTCAGTCAAGTGAGCAGGTATTAATGTCTTTTGATATAAGTTATGAAAAGTATTATGTATATTGGTAAAATTCAATAGTAGAAAATTTTTATATGGGACTTGAGCTGAAAGTGCAATATATGCACACTGACCCATTCATCAGCTTCACTCTCTGAGTTAGCTTTCAGGACAAGTGGTTGATGAATGATTGTAGACATAGCTGTGTGGATGTTCAATGTGGAAGGCTGATCTAGGTCAAAACATGTTCTCACACAAGTCATTTCACTTAATGGGATCTGTGTATGCTGAACAAAAGAAATATAGTGAGTTACGTGAACATGCATTTGATATAAAAGATATAATTAGACTTTAGCATGCTGGCCTATATTTAACTAAAATTTTACATTATCTTGTTTTAAACAGCAAAATTAGAATGTATTATTCTGGCCAGAGTTTCATACAAGTAAAAGATGTTTGTTTATTTCTAGCTACATGTAAATAAAAATGTGTGGGATAATACCTACAATAATTCTATTTGAAAATTAAATGATTTAGAATCCAAGATTTCATTCAGTACAGAATCTCTTATCCAAACCCCCCCCCCAAACACTTTTTTTTATTGTGAAGTTATATGAATGAAGTTTTGATAGCATGATAAAATTTAAGATTACATTGTGTACTGTTGTATGATGCATTGTAGTGTCACCTTTTGTGTTTTCTTATGTTGATAGTGTACAGTTAGGCAGCCCTCGGAATTTTTGGTGATAGCCTGTTCAAACTCCACACTGCAAGGAACCCAATGATGACGACGGTCATATCTGTACATCTGCATGTTTGCTTTTTTTACCCAAGTTGTCTACAAGAACAGAAAATGAATTTTAAAAATTAATAACCATTTAAAATCCAGTGTTACTGTCTGGGTGATATATAAACTATATGAGACAATAACTAACAAGAAAAACTTTCGTACCATTACGCACGTTCTCCCATGATAATAATTACACCTTTTAGGATGTCAAATTTTCAATCAGATTTCTTTTTTCTAGCATTCTCACAAGCTAAGGCCTGATGAAATGATTCATGAATATAAATTTGTACCATAAAAAAGATCAAACGTCTATCTTACGAATTTTCATTGAAATGTCAGTATTTCATATTATTATATGAAATACTGACAGCTTCAAGTATTATTTGAGTCATTTGTGCCAAAATTTGATAGATGAAAATTCTCAAAGAGCAGAGGCTGACTTCAGAGTCAGGCGTATTTCATTATTTTAAAATTCTTATAATGAAGAAATGTGTATGCAAACTGTTGAACAATTTCTTGGGTATAAAATTATATAATTTCAAAGATCTCTCACAACAGCAAAAACTATGTAGCTAGCACTAAAAAAATGTATTTTAAAAGTCTTTTTTCAAAATATTTTCTTTCGAAGTCAAGTAAAAGGGCCCTTAAAAAACTATACATTACTTTTCTTAAAATTCATTATGCAAAGAAAGTATTTGCAGGTGGTTAGTAAGGTACTTTAAGAAGCCAAAGCCAAAGGATTCCAATTAAATGTAGAAGTAACTTAGATATGTATTTTATTTCTAACTGTTGAAAATATATTATGCACAGACTTTCTTTGCGTAATGAATTTTAAGAAAATTATTTTCTACTTTTTGGTGCTCTTAAACTTGACTTCGAAAGAAAACCTTTTTTTTCTTTTAAATTAATTTTTTTTTTTTTCCTACTTTTTAGTATGAAATTTTAATCTGTAAATTATCCACAAAATAATTTTTTTAGCAATGAAAAATCGTGGGCATAGTGACATAGGCATAAAACTAATAAGTAGAATTTAACAACCACTTGCCATCTATTGATCAGAGTCTAATTGCTGAAGTGCCCTGCCCCAACAACTTCCCCCCATCCCATCCTACATTTAGCAAAGGAGTAGAGTTTTTTTTTTTATCCCCTTTTCTTATTTCCCTCACTAACAACCCCACCAGTAAACCCAGCTGTACCACTGTGTCATCAACTAAGATGCACAAGGAAAACTGAATCGACAGAATGAGATGTCACGTATGTAAAATAAAAAAATTATGCTGGACAAACTTACTAGTGAGATTTAAAATATCTATTAAAAACAGAACAGAGCCAGAGGAACTAGTATAAAGAGGATTGTTATCAAAAGAGTCATGGGGCTAGCAATATGTGTCAACCAGCCAGGTGGAACTGGAAATCATTTTCTTTGTTCTCACTATGCTTATTCGTAACTGGTGAAGAAATTCACATGCAGTGGCACAAGGATAGTAAAACAATAAGCAATTAAATGGCAATAAAATATTAATTACTCACCCTGTTAATGGCTAGTTCTAATTGCTTAAAACCTTGGGATTCTCTCTCATTTCTCTTGACAAGTTTTCTCATGATGTCATCCCTGAGTGACTGGCTGATCTTTGACACTTTTTGCGCAGGTTCTGATTCTTAAGTAGGGAAAAAGTAGCAAATTCTACTTGTCAGTTTTAACAGTTTCAAAGTAAGGAGCAAATGGCAGTTACAGGTAATAAATTATTGAGCATCTATCACTTACATCAAAGCATCATCTTCACAACAAACAGCAAACACATTTTCCTTTCCCTATATTATCTACCACTAGAATCATCTTCCCCCTTAACATCTGTTAACAACATTGTAGACTTTTTGCACCAGTAACCACTTATTTTGCACATCCTTCATAGACAAGAAAAAACATTTAATCTTTGTAAAAAAACTGCATTTCAAACAAGTAGAAGTAAATGCCAAGGGTTTCCTTGCCCCTCTTTTTATTGAATTTTATTTATATTATATTCTGGCAGAGAACGGCATAATTCAGCTCATTGAGCCAAGGTCAACCTTGTTGGTGCCTTGTGTCATGAAATAGTAACTAAGATGATGTTAAATGTGATTTTTGTTGAGCTATCTCCTGAAACTGACTTCCTCAAAGTCAGCAAAGGTTTCCTTTGTCAAACAATCATTTATCAACAGTCAAATCAAGTTAAGATAAATTATTTGAAAAAGTAAAACAAATGTTATTTAAATATTGTAAAAAGTTGCTCAAACTATCCCTTTAAGATTTTTTTTAAAAAGTAAAGAAGAACAAACCCTTATTTGTACTGGACAGCCATGCTACAGAAGCTGGGTTGTCGATGACGCAACTGGTGGCATCCAGCCATTTCCAACAAAGCCGAGGCTGGGCCACACTGACCTGTGTTATGGTGTTGATTTCTGTCTTTGTCACAGGTGATTGTAAGGAAGGGGACTTGCGGTATTTTGATAACTTTCTGGAGGGATGAAGTTCAGCCAGTGGGAGATAATCTCTCAGCTGGCCATTAGTAAACTCAACTGCTGTAAGATCAAAGTCACCGACCCCCACCTGAGAGTCTGTTAAGATATTAATACTGGGCTGACTGGCTGTAACTGTTCTTTCTACATCATATTCAATAACTTCAACTGGCTGAAAACTAATGGCTTGCCTAGATTTTTCTTCCTCAGAAATGATGTCAGTTGCGAAGTTGATGATGTCATCGGCATATGAATTTGAATCAAGACTTAACAGCTGATGACTATCCTTTGTTAAACTATAGTATTCTACATCACCATTAGCTATCACAGCTGGTTGAACTGACACTAAATCACTATTAATTGGTAAAGCTGTTTGAATTGACACTAAATCGCTATTAGCCGGTAAACCTGTTTGAACTGACTCTACATTTGGAGTTGACACATTTGTAGATTCTTGTGAACTATTTAAGTGAATGTCCTGATGTTCTGACAATGGAGTCTCTCCAGAGTAATAGTCCACACTAAGGAATGGCATACTGTGCATATTAAGATCTCCTGTAAAATTAGCTATATCAGTAAAATAATTGGTACTCGGTGGCAAATAATCTATTACATCTAAATCTGGGTGGGGTTGGCTGTTGGGATCTTGACTGTTGAGAACAGGACTGGTTGAATCTTGACTAGATGAATCAGAACAAGTGGAATCTTGACTAACTGAATCAGAACATGTGGAACCTTGACTGGTGGAATCAGAACTGATGGAATTATTTGTCAGTGAGAATGAAAATGAGTAAGTGTCAAGTGAGAGCTGGGAATCTGAACTGGCCAGCTGAGTGTCCCCACTGGGAGATCCATTGACAACATTGTTCTCAGTGCTCACAGATGACTTGCGTCTAACTTTTCTTTTTCCTTTCAACCTTTCAAAGACAATATCATTATCATTAGAGGAAGAGACTAATTTTTTCCTCTGGGGTCTTAAAGACTTCTTCTCTTGTAAGTCTGTTGATTGTTTCTCTGATGGTGAAGAGGGAGCATCTAAAATAATAGTTCCTTTCAGATCAAGACACAAAGACTTTAAACTTTCTGTTTCTCCACCCTGCAATTTGGTGTGAAAATGTTTATCAATGTCTTGTGTGTTAGTCTCATGACAGAGCACATCAGTAGGTAACGAGCTATGGGTGTTCAGATCAGGACACAAAGACTTTAAATTTTGTGTTGCTTCACCCTGCAATGTGTTGTGAAAATGTTTATCAACCACTTGTGTGTTGGTATCATGACAGAGCACAGCAGTTGGTAATGAGCTATGGATGTTCATCAATAGTTTTGAAATTGATGAATTGAGAGTTGCATCACTAGTCACCTTGTTTTCAGGTTTGCTTATATCTTTACATAGAGCTAAATTTTCATATGAAACACATTGTACAATTTCACTTGATTGATCAGATGTAGAAGTAATTGATGCATTCTCCTGGCAACTGGATGAGGATAAATGAGGAGGTGCAGTTAAGACAGATGTAGAAGTAATTGATGCATTCTCCTGGCAACTGGATGAGGATGAATGAGGAGCTGCAGTTAAGACATCAGATGTAGAAGTAATTGATGCATTCTCTTGGCAACTGGATGAGGATAAATGAGGAGGTGCAGTTAAGACATCAGATGTAGAAGTAATTGGTGCATTCTCCTGGCAACTGGATGAGGATGAATGAGGAATTGCAGTTAAGACATCGGATGATTGATGCACCAGCGTTGAGGCCAAAAGTGAGAGATCATCATGTGACTCTTCGGTTGTCTTGGTTCGAATGTTAGTTTCGTAACCCTGCTTATTATTTGTTTGGTTCGATGCTATCTGGTAGGCAGCCAAGGACTGGACTTGAAATAAAATCTTTTCATCATTGGGTGATGGAGGAGAGTCATCGCTTTGTTCAAAGATGACATTGTCATCCTCCACAGCAAAATGAGACCAGGCTGGTGGAGTAGCATCAAGGTGAGAAGATAAGCTGTAGAATGAAGGTAGGTTGTCTTCCTCCTCATACTCCATGATGGTACTGCTGCTGCTGGTGGTGGTTGAGGAACGATGACGGCCATCATCATGCAAGGCACAGTACTTGTCCAGTTCACCGCAGTAACATACGGCTCCCTCAGACAAGAAACCCCGCTGTTCAAGTGCAGATAAATCTTCATGTAAGATGATCGGCTGCCATGTTTTACCAGTCAAGTCTGATCTGGTTACTGCAGTCCGAAAGTAAGCAGTTTTACTGGTCATGTCAATAGCAAAGACCTGATGAACAGAATAATGCTCTCATCATTTTGGTAGACATTTTTTTTTTTTTCAGATGGACAACTTAGATATCTACAACGTCTTTGCACCTGCATTAATTATATATGACTCACCTGATCATTGGACGAAACAGAAATCTGGGACATGTAACCCACCATCTCGACCCAGCTTGTCCCAACGGCAGAGTTTTCATTCCATAATGCCTCCTCACCTGATGTTCCTTTACGGAACCAAACCTAGAAAAGTAGGACACAGCTTTAAAACTAGCGGTGATGCTCATTTTTAATTCTCCTCTGAACCATTCACCTGAAGCTAAACATTGGAACAAATCGCTTACATTGTCAATTGGTTATTTATCTAGTATTTAGTTACAGTTTCCTTAATTACAGTTCCCTTAGTATTTAGTTACAATTTCCTTAGTATTTAGTTATAGTTTCCCTAGTATTTTGTTACAGTTTCTCTAGTATTTAGTTACATTTTCCTAGTATTTATTTACAGTTTCCCTAGTATTTTGTTACATTTTCTCTAGTATTTAGTTACATTTTCCTAGTATTTAGTTACAGTTTTCCTAGTATTTAGTTACTTTTCCCAATAAATTTAGCTAGTTTCTCTAGTATTTAGTTACATTTTCCTAGTATTTAGTTAGTGTTTACTTCTTCAAAAAATCATTTCTAGCTTCCTTACCACTAGACATGGTGCTTTGCCTGCAACCATTTTGGTAAACAAGCATGTGTTTTTAATAAGTATTTTGGTAGCTTAGATTTGTTGGTTATTAATCAAATTTTTACAACCTGTTTCTTAAATTTAATTATTTTACAACGTAAATACAATTTTCAGAGATTATTATTCTATACAGGAGTTAACACTTATATAATATATTTATCATATACTCCTCTTCATAATCATAAATTATTTAAAGTGTATACTGACCTGTCCCTCTCTGCTGAGGGCCCAAACAGAATTTTTTCCCACAGAAACCTGAGCTAGTCGAGTTGTTTCATTAGGGTATTCAACTGGCAACCAATCTGTACCTGAGAAATAAAGTGTTAATTTTGTTTCAAATTTTTATAAGCCTCTTTTGTACAAGTTGGAGCCCATACTCTTGACTCTACACTATCCAGGACTGGCTCATCCTTTATATAAAATATCTATGGTATAATTTTATTATCTTAAAACCTATTTAACTTAACAGACAAAAAGTTAATTATATCTAAAGAAATAACAGTCTAAATATTTATCTAAGAAAAAACTATTGTTAGTAAAGATCTCTTTCACTATAGGGTTTTATAAAATTTGGGATCAGGACAATGGAACTATCTGATATTTTAATTATGGTAATAAGGGGAAAGACTGCAATCAGGTAAGCAAAATAAGAAATGGGTAAAACAAAGTAATGTCAAACCTGAAAAAAGGAACGCAACAAAACAACGAACGTGTCAGCAGGACGCCTTCGTCAGCGAGCAAACAACAGAAAAAAAAAATTAAAATAAAAAATAAAAATAGCACTTAACTGAGAAGCGGGCGGCAAAAGAATAGTGACAGAAAATAAAAAGGTGAGAGAAAAACTAGGGAAAAGAGAGAGAAAAGAGGAGAATTTAAGTCCACTGCAATTGGTCGTGACATTGAGGGGAGGGGCAAAGGCTCAAGCTGTGAATAAAGACATGACGTTCATGCCATGTGGTGTCAAGGTTCCATGGGTCAGGATAAGCTTTGCTATTTTTATTTCAATCTGTTTTTCTGTTGCTTGTTTGCTGATGAAGGCTTCCTGCCAACACGTTCTTTGTTTTGTTGTGTTCCTTTTTTTCAGGTTTGAACTTACTTTGTTTGACGCATTAAGCATTTCATTACCACTATCACCAATATTTCATAATTTGATCATCTACTCCATTACTGAATCTCAGTTCACAACTAATTTCACTTTAGCATTCACCATATATTAGTGTAGAGGTCATTTTTTTTAAAAAATACATTTTTAAGAAGTTTTTTCGGGTTATAAAGTAGAGGAGGAGATATTCTCTTCATCTCTCATTTACCTGAATAGTATTATTTTACATTTGCATTATTTAAATTTAGCGACATTAACTTTTAAACCAAGAGTGTTGAATGGACGGTGCCAACTGAAGGTCTAAATCTTGGTGACACAAACCCATTTTAACTGCTCTCATTGTAATCAAACTTAAATGAGATAGTTAAGATTTTATATGAGTATATCTATGGAATCCCTTGTTAAGGGACAGCCTTTAACTCATTCCCTAGTGATTAAAAATATCTGGTGAGGCAATTAATTTTGTAAATGGAGGGAAGTACATAGTTATAAAGTAGAAATAAAACTGTACAGTAGATTTTATACAGAAATGAATTATTAATTTTACCTAATTTTAAAGCTACACAAATTATATTCATTTGGGAACTTTTTTCTGTCATAAAATATAGAGATTTACCCACATGAGTATGGGGTCATTTATCTCAAAATTATGTATATAAATGAGAAAAAGACATACCAAATATGTTATTTCTAGAAACATCTTTTCTTACTACTGCATGACCATCCCAAGTGATAGCCCATACAAGGTTGCTAGCCCCTATAGATATGTTGATGACGCCCATCTGACCAACAATGTTTAATTCTTTCCATGAACTGCCTTCTGGGTTGTCATAGTTGACATCAGTGCGAGCATAGACCTTTAGGTGAAAACAGAACATGTTTACATAATTGCAGAATCAGAACTTTAGATAAACTTGAAGATTCATGTCAGGGTTTGTTTTTTTTTCAATTTACCATTTTTAAAGATTCATCTTTTCCAATATTTGCTAGCTAAATGTTGTTGTTTTTTAAATCACATACTTCTGCAAACAAATTTATTTCTGATAATGAAAATAGCTATTGCAAAGATTCTGAAGATTTTGATTACTGACAATACTAACCATGCAATACAATCAAATAAAACATTTAAAAAATGCTTAGAGAAAAAGAGATTCTTTCCTATTTTCTTTTTAAATTTCAGAAACAAAAACCAGTGACCTGCTTGCAAATAGCCAATATACTTACATGACCATTGTTGGTGACAGCCCACACTGACAAGAAGCCTGCAGGTTGACATGGCAATAGAAATCCCCCCACACTGATATCAATGAAACATTCAGCAATTTGTACCACTTCCACATCAGAAATCTGCCAATCAGAATTGTTCTGGTTTACACATTTGATTTTTTAAAGCTTGACAAAGAAATTACAGAATTCATGGATGAAAAAGATTATGATGTTAACACAAGCCATTTAATAAAGATATGGGCCTTGATTATATATTAAACTTAAACATGTGCGCAGGTCAATTAGTGATAATTGAACATTTGCAAAAAGTGTATGTAGTAATTTATGTTTTAATTACTCACTATAGCCCAGATATCAGTTGATGAAAAACGACGAAACCTGATCCATTTTCTCTTTCTTACAAATGATTTCCAGTGTTTCTCTGGTGTGTAAATATTAGGGAAGTCAACTGCATATTGCCAGCCCTAAAAAGATACTCCAGATTAGAGTTCACATATTAATTGTTTATAATTATTTTATATACATTTCCAACATTTTATTTAATTGCATTATGTTTTTGATATGTATTAATTTGAACAATATTTTAAACTAGTTTCACTAACATTAAAGCAATCTTACAGAATACAAACTAATAATTTTTTAGAGAGTGTTTAATGCATATATACTTACAAAAGAGTGGTATTAATGTATACTTTTTTTATGTTGACAATTACAGCTAATCTGATAGGGGTTAGCAAATAAACTGTGGACTGAAATTTGGATTACATGTCAAAAGTTTCCATGGGTATCCTAGTAGAAGTATCACAAGCTTTGGGCACGACAATGTCGTACTGTCGTAGCAATGTTGAAGATCAACATAAGTTCCCGCTCAGTCTTCACACTTGACTTTTCTGTAACTGCTTACTCCATTCTACTTTCACTCACAATTATCTTTGTCCCACAGATGAGGGAAGGTCAGGGTGAGTACACTTAGACGGGCCTGAACAGGGAAATGTACTAAAAGTACTTGCCTTGTGTTTTGCCCGTTCCATCCATCTTCTCACCAAGGCAGATTTACAATAAACATTAACGTTGAAAAGGAATTTTAAATTTAATGTTAATTATTTTTCAACAGCTTTCCAGTAATAATTTAATATCTACTCTAGGAGGTGCACAGCTGACTCTAGCGACCTGAATACAACACTCTTGTCAAAACTGAAAAGTATTTACCTCTCTATCAACAACTTCACCACGTAAATTTTCATCAATGAGCCAATCTCCTTCCCATTTCCAATGAGCTGAAGGAAGTCGAACACTTTCTTTCGGTCTTTCAATAACTCCTGATTCATCACTCCAGGCAAATCTATCTGTTGGCAACAAACTCTCTTTGGAAAATCCATGAAAAGGACTCCAGCGCTAGATTTAATGATAGTTAAATTTGTTTATTTAAAATTAAAGCCCATTTAAAAAAATAAAAGTTACAAAACAGCTGAAGTTTTATTTTATAAAATTAGTTAATGTATGCTTAAAAAATAGAGCAATAAATTTCTCATATAACTTCTAAAAATAAAATTGATGAAAACTTTGTTTAAATCACACATAGCCTACATATTGCTATAATAATGATATATTTAATCTTTTATAAGAACAATATTCAAAGATGATAAAAAGATTTTTCTGCTCAAATCTTTAATTTTTCCCTTTTTTTAAGCTTTAAAGCTTTTAAAGTGCTATATTCCTGTCTCATAAGATGAAATAAAAAGTAAATGAATGAATTATAATTTTGTAATAAATACAGAGTAGGTATTGTTTCAGAAAATGTTTTTGAATATACATCACCCCAAAAATAAATGCAAGCTCAATGATATCAAGAATTAAAGATCTATACCAAGGGTCCTCAAACCATGGCACGCAGGCCAGATCCGACTCTCCTAGCTGCCGTAAGGGCACTCGGGTAGCAGTGATAATTTAT